ACTCGAGTATTCACTTAAGCACATGCTTTCGTGGATTTACATAATCGTAGCTCCTTATTTTTAATTTTCTTATTGCTAACCCAATGGCTCTAGGAGCCTCGCACCAGGAGAATTCCGCCAGCTTATTGTCTGAACTTTGTGCAGACATGTTAATACACTCTGCCGTTGTGTTGTTTAGGGGTTTCGATTTAAGCCACTGTGTAAGAACTGGTGAGGGAACCCTTCCTGAACCTGGCACTTGGCTCTCTGGATGGAGAGAACTTTAGATAAACGCAATACTGCGGATGCCACACCGCGTACCTGTTCTGCGGCTACATAATTCTGTAAGAGCCGACCCAAGTGTCTACCATTAGGAAACAGGCTCTTCTGCAGAGAAAAAGATGGTGCCTAGCGTCACAAGTACAACCCTCTCCCCAGTCCCTTCAGCAGCAGTGAAGGTGAGTGACAGCGAGGCTTTGATGCTTTGGAATGGCTGGGCCAAACTGAAGACAGTTCAAATGGCAGACACTCGCCAGTTTGCAAACGACAGTATTCAGAGAGGCTAGGGGTTAAAGGCACAAGGGATATAAATCCTAGGTTTGTCACTCCTAGCTGTTTGACCATCAACAAATCAGTCAACTCAACTAAACAAATACATATTGAAGGTTAGATGCTGCAGGACAGACATGGTCCCTGATCTCAGGAAGCTCACATTTCTGGTTGGGTAGACAGACTTATAAAGATACTGAGAATAGAATGTTGAATGCAGTGAAGGGAGTATGTAGGTCTGGGCTTTCAGGTAAATCCGGGGTGTTGCAGCCCGCATAGCACAATCCAAGCACAACGTACCCGCAGGACGGAGTGTAGGGGCTTTTTCAGGAGCATAACCACTTACCTTCTCTTCATTTGCAACAAGAGCACACTTTCAAATGTCAACAGCGGTTCGATTCCTCTCCCAACGGTTTTTTTTTTTTTGTCCCTCCATTAAAAACAAAACCAAAAAACCCCTTGAAATACAATTTGGGTTCAATCTCCTTTCATTCCTTTCCAAGAGTTTCAGCCTGGTCTTGGGTAGGCTAGTCTGCAGGAGACGCTTCAAAAAGTTCCAGGATTTTTTTGGGTCCTTTTTTCTCCATTATTTTTTCATTCCAGTTCTCCACCAAAATCTTAAGGGCCCCTCACATAGACAAGTCACCATTAATACGTTTTTGAAGGATGAGTGGCGAGTGTGTTTATGGAGAAGGCAGGCCACGAAAGAAGGGTGGGGCTGGACTGGCTGCTGGCCGACTCAGAAGGCCTTGCCAACGAGGCTGCAGGGGTTCTCAAGTACCTCATTCCAAAATGGACCCTGAGGAAAACTAGAGCTTATTTTGGGATTTATCAGTAGCAACTGTCAATATTATTTTATACCAAGATTCAAAAGCTGAGCATCTCCAAAAACCTACTTAGCAGCTCCCGAGGCACTTTTGGTCAACATTTATTGTATGTGTGCCACACATGTACTATTGCAACTGCTCGCAAGTCCTGAAACATGGGTTTTATCATATGCTCATGTTCCATATAAAGCATTTAGGTAACTTGTCAAAGCAACCCCAATATGTCTATGTACAGTTGTACCAGTTCTGCAACAAACATATTATGCACTGAATGTTAGAGCAACTTGGGCTCTCTTTGAAGCTCCCAGCCATCGGCTGTCCAGCAACCTTCCCAAATCAGACTGTGGCGAGGTCCAGAGCTGATGTGGACATCTCAAAAAGGTCCGCATTACTGTTCTAGGAGTTGCAGCTCCCAGAAAGCTCTCTTAAGCAAAGGTATGGGGCGGGTCAGGGCGGGGAGGGAAACACTGAATTCAGCAGGCACCTGCAACCCTCCCAGGAACTTGAGAGTAAAAACCATCCAGAGCTGAACATCCAAAGCTTCTAGGAGATGCTGGCGGTGACAGGCTAAAGCCCCATCTACTACCAAGTACCAAAAGAGCCCCGGTGGCGCAGTGGTTATGAGGTTGGCTGGAAACTGAAAGACTAGATTTACCAGATACTCTGCAAGGAAGAGATTCTGCTCCATTAAAGAATGCACCTTTGGAAACTCTTATGGGGACAGTTCTAATCTGTTTTATAAGATCACTTTGAGTCAGAATCCACTCAATGGCATGGGGTTTACAAAGTAGTGACTTTCCTATTTTCCCTCCCAGTAATATGCAAAAGTCTTTGCATAGTAAGAGAAATCGAGTCACTTTGGGCTCCAAAGAGCCCGCCTAACACTACACTGTACATTTCATTACATGTGTGTAAGATGTTATACTCCAAGTGAAACACTGTCAGAGTTTGCAAAGTTTTCGGATGGTTACACCTACACTGAATGAAAAGCTAAGACACCCCTCAATCTACCCACACATATTCATTCACTCTTGTATATTTACATACAGACATTAAAAAAATAAATTTCCGTTTTTCCTGGCAAAGGTAGAAGGCATGAAAAGATGTCAGTAGAATCTAACAGTTATACAAAGTCATGTACCAAACTGTAAAAATCTACCTGTCTTAGTTACCTAGAGCTGCCATCATGGAAGATACCACAAGTTGAGTGGCCTTAAGAAACAGAAAGTTACCTTCTTACAGTTGAGGGTATAGTCAGAATTCATGGCGACGGCCTTTTTTAAAATAAACAAAGGACAGTAATAGCTCCCTGTCTTCTCTTGTCCATATCTATCCATATATATAAAAGACACCATTCAGAAGGAATTACTGTATATGCTCGTGTATAAGCCAAGTTTTTCAGCACACTTTAAATGCAGTTTTTATGGTAAAATTAGGTGCCTCGGCTGATATTCACGTATATATGGTAGGTTTTGGACCCACCCTATGCTGACATGACCTCATTAACATAATTAAGGACCCCTATTTCCTAACAGGAAATAAGTCTTCAACATTAACTTTTTTGGAGAACACAACTCAATCTTTATCACTACCAAAACGAGATTTTCATTTCACTTCAAATGTGATGGCCACTATCAGAAAAAGAGAAAATAACACCTGTGGGGGGGAAGACAGAAATTGGAACCATTGTGGCATTGCTGGTAAGACTAAATGGTGCAGCCGCTTTAGCGGTACCTCAGAAAGGTAAACACAGACTTCCCATATGACCTAGTAACTCCACTCCAAAGAAGCGACCGTAAAGAACTGAAAGAGGCACTCAAATATTTGTTCTTGTTCAATGCGGCACAACTTACCATAGCTGTGAGGAGAAAAGCCGTGTTCATCAATAGATCGATGGATAAACAAAATGTTACACACACACAACTTCAGCCACAAAGAACTGAAGTTCTTACACAACACACATGGATGTCTCAGGGTTCTGCGGAGTTGTTTTTTTTAAAGTCGCTCCTGTGATGATGGGGGACTCACTGCCTGAGTCAAAGCTGATACCAAGTGACTGTAGACAGGGCATCAATGGCAGACCACCTTATCTCTGTCGCTTGGAACAGCTGGTAATTCCCAACTGCTGACCTTGCAGTTGGCAGCCCAACTTGTAACTGCTATGCTTACCAGGGCTCCTGAGACCATCTGTAGGTCGGGATATGCCTGCAGTCTTGGCTCCCAAGCTCTGTAGTCAGTGATGGACAGAGTGAAGACTGGAGGACTTATGGCAAAATGTCCTTTGGAGTCAGCATATCCACTAGCAGAAATTCCCTTTCTGCTGTTAAGGCCTTTAATTGATTGGATGAGGCTCCCCTACCCCATGTTGGGTGGATAACTTGCTTTACTTAAAGGTCAGCAGGTTTAGTCATATATAACTATCTACACTAGTATTTCCAAACACTAGTGTTTCCATAGCCTAGCCAAGTTGACACAAAATTAATGCACATAATGTAAAATAAATAAACATTATGAGGGATAAAGTAAGTCATACACAAAATGACAAATATTGTAAGATCCCACTTACAAGAAATGTCTAGGTAGGCAGGCAAATCAATGCACGCAGGTCTCAGTTTACAAATGGTGACTGGGGGCTGGGATTAGGGGAGATGGAGGCTCACTGCTTAAAGGAGCTGAGTTTCTGTTTGGGGGGGGCAGGGGCGGCGAAGGTTGTACAACATCATGAATGTAATTAATGTCAGTGACTTACACGCTTAAGAAATGGTTAAAATAGCAAATTTTATGTTGTAGATATTCCATCACAAAAGCTGTATTTTTATGAATGTGAATTGGTACCTTCAGATTCCAGCCTGAGTGGATAGCCACCCTGGGTCAGTCATGGGGTCTTTGTCTGCGGTGAGAACAGGGCATATAGGTCAAAAAGCACAGCAGCCCATTTCTACAAAACTAAACCGAGCGCTTTAACCGCAAGGTTTCTCTTAGCTCCTACCTTAAACGCGCACAATGTCAACCTATCACTGAAGCATTTCACCTGACAGTTTCAAAATATAAACCAAGGCACTGTAGTGAAAAAGAGTTCAGATACAGCCAGGTTATAACTCGAGATTTTCCTTCTTAGCTTGATTCTATTTGATTGGTGCATCATTTAAAAGCAGACCCTACAACTGTCCTAATCGGACTTAAAAAGGGCAGGTATTTTAGGAGCTGGTTCTCCTCAACAAAATCCTTATGCTTAAAAGTGTTCTGCCTGAGACGAGCAGCAGGTGACGGGTGCACTCTAGCGATCCGTTGGGTACAATGTGCACATCAACAGAGCGAGTCAGGCAGCACACAGATGCAGTCGCTAAGTGTTCAAAAAGAAGCTGGGGCGAGCGGAGCCAGGACACGTTCATTCTACAGTCCAATTGAATAGTCAGCCCCAGCTGGCACCCGACCCTGGTATTTGACCAACAGCAGTCTTAGGTCAAACACAAACAACACCAAAGAAGCTTCTACCAAAAGACATTACTGGAAAAGAACTCTATTCATATTTTGGGGGGTAGTAAAAGTTGATGAAATTTAAAAATAAAGATCTGGAGAACAAATTTTCCAGTGTGCACAAAACTAGAGAAATAAAATATTTCACTAAAGATAACTTCAGGAAAATGAGGACTGAATTACTTTATTTATAAGGAATGTAGAAAACATAAGCAAATATTAATTTTGCATTAAAAAACAAATTAAAGCCTATACATCATCCAAATGTTTAAAAAGAATCAGTGTGACAAGAAAACACTGTGCTCCCACACAGAATGTGTTATAACGCAACACTGTCGGTGGCTCATCACAAGATACACAGCATAAAGGTAAAGCTGAAATGATGCAAAGTTCTGAATCTAAGGGACCCAGTGGGTTGAAGGAAGCACCAAGTGTCATCGATGGGGGACCGCTACTACTTCAAGGTGAAGAAAATAAGGATATAAATAAACTAGGGGAAATAAAGCAGCTCAGGATGCTTGGAATTTTAGAGTAAATAGTTTATTTGGTTCTGTTGTTACAGGTTTTATCTGTTTTCTGACCAAAAATGAATGCATGAGTTGTGTGAAAAAAAATCCAAAAATAATATTCATATGTGTTAGCTCTTTAAAGGATCACTTTAAATTGAAGAAATAATGATGGACATTGCCTGCCACTTACTACACTGAATTAACTATTAAGAAAATGATTAATTGTAACAGCTATAATATGCTTTGATTTTCTCTTTTTTAAAAACTCGAAGGCAATATAAAAAAAAATCTTTTATGTCTCTTAATTTAAGAAATACACTCTACATATACTTCCTGGGAAATCTCTACTTCAGGAAGTGATAATACGAAGTCCTGACACACTATGACTCTTCAAAGAAATATCAGCTGATCCGATTACAACAACTTAAAATAGAGTACTTGGGAAATATAGTGACTGGCTCAATTACCCTTTATGATTCCTGATGAACTACATTTCACTGATGAAAGCTAAAATCTCAGTCCAAAACTTGGGAAGCATGAGACTTCATAGCCTACTGAATAAACCTAAAGAAAAATCTTACGAAAAGTTATACAGTCTTTGTACACGCCATACATACATATGTATTTTCCGGGTAAAAAGGACTCGTATTTATTACTTTTAGGCTATAAATCACTTTCTTGTAAGGAAGATTTTAAAAGGTAAGCACAGAGTCAGAAGTTTCAGGGGGGCACCTACTAAGACTAGTAACTACTGAAACTCTTTGTCAAGTAAAGAAATGCAAAAAACTCATACTATAAATCTTTAAGTTTATAAAAACCAAAAGTAGACTTACTCCTGACAAATTTATGACAAAAACTAAAACAAAATCTCCAAATCCCATTTTGTACAGATCCTACCAGGACAAATCCAGTTCATACTGCTCCTCTGAGTCAAGTAAGCCTTCAGGTCAGGAGGAGGGCACAACATGACTGTTTGAAGGGTTGCCGTTTCTCAGGTGATGAGCACATTTTCTCCTGGGTGACTTGTGTACTTTATTAACATCAATGGAAAGCCCAAATATTTCAATATTTTAAAATGTTTGGACTATTACCCATTTAAAAAATGTATTTCATCATATTTAAGTTTTACATTAAAGAAATTCACACTCTGAAAACAGGCCTGCTTTAAATATAGTTAGATAACTGGGTACTTATTAAATGAAGATTTCTTTAGCAAATAAGTTTCTTGTATTTAAAAAACCAGCAAGACAGAATTTTAAAAATCGTAATTTACACTATATTGTAAACTGTAGACAACCGCCACATGTATCACAGATGAATCCAGGTAAAACCTTTTCCCCAGATACTTATAAGACTTTGTATCTTCCTTTATTTGTTGGTTGGTATGAATTTTGCTGCAACAGAAAAAGAAAACAATTCATTACATTAGATAGTCAGAAGAGCAAAACTAAGATAACACTTAAGATCATTTCCTTCCACTATTACATATTTAAAATGAAATGTTACTACTATGGTGCTGAGGCAACAGGAAGCCTGCTGATTTAATTGTTTCTCTTGGTCCACTCACTCGCTTCGTGCTGGGACTGAACTGACAGATGGCGTGGCCGCCGATGCAAAGGCACGAGGCTCTTTGGCTTTCGCTTCTTCCTGAAATAGTCTTAAGTACTTCTTTTAAAAATTATTCTTCTTTCTTTTCATTGTGTGCACCCTCTTTACTTTGTTTTCTCCACAAGAATAATCTAGTAGGGGGATTTTCACAAACATTTTCTTCAGATGAAGGAGAGAGTCAACACTTTTCAAAGGGTCTTCATCCTCTGGTACACACCGCGTGGAGAATCCAAAAGCATTAAATGCCACTAAAAACACTGTCTGTCTCTTTTGGACAGTGGTCCATAAAGTGGCTTTTTCTACATTAAATTAAGTCCTTGCGTAAGTTTAAAATGCCTCAGAATAACGTGTTGCCAAAGAAGTCAAGCTACACACAGCTGGGGTGAGTGTAAGCTGGTAATAATCACTTTGGAAAACTGTTTAGCTATTTATTAAAGCTAAACCACACATACGCTACAACCACCAGTGCTATTATAAGGCATATACCAAAGAGAAAAGCACACGAATGTGTACCAAAGAGGCCCAAAAGAATGTTTGTACCAGTTACTCATAGAAAAGAAAAATGTAGAAGAACCCGTGTCCAATAGACCAGCAAACTGTGATAGGGTTACACAATTAAATGCTAAACAGCCATGAAAATGAAGGAATTTTCACTTTTGCTTGCGGCAACACGGCTAACTCTCCTGTGAACTAACCTCCAGTAGAGAGAACAGGGCTCACAAGAGGACACAGCATGTGATGCCACTTATTCAAAGCTCAAAAGCAGGCAAACTGAACCAACACTAGTCGGGAGACTGTGGTGACACGTGGGGGAGATGAACAGTGATGAGGGTGGGGGGAGGAGGTTATCTTGATCCGGTTATCAATACAACAGTGTGCTCCTTTTGTGAAAATTCATCGAGCTGTATGTTCGCGATGGGTGCGATTTTCTGCACGACATAACACTTCACACAAGACAAATCCCTAAGGTCTTTACTCACCAGGCGGATCAGCTCTTCTTTTATGAGCCTGGTGATTTCTGCCTTTGCTTTCTGCACAGCCAGCTCATTGGCACCTGGTGAGTGAGTAGAAAACAAGTGATTAGCTTAGGGTAACACTGCAGGTTTATCCATATAAGGGAAGCCCAAAAGTGAAGGCTGTAGGCTTCAGGGACCTGTACTTTCTGGCAAACCAGTCTTTCAGTGACTGGTGCATCACCACTCACCTGAGAACACGGCTGCTTATCATTCAGCTTATAACTTGTAAAGTCTCAAATGTCACCACTGAGGTCACATTGCATGTGGTGCTAACAGTTCTGAGATGATGATATGGATAAAGACAAGATGAATAACAACTTGTCCATGAGACAGTCAGTACAAACAAAAGAGAAATACGATGTCCTTGGGTGATGCACTGAATACTTATTCGACACTGTTTTTGAAATCCACAAATACTTCGGAAAGTCTTAAGGATGGACTCCATGCTGGTTTGGTGTGAGTGTCTGGGGTCTTAAATATTTGTGCGTGTCCACTTAAGATACAACTACTGAAGAAAACGCAGAACCCCTCAAGTTAGAACCAAATAAAAGACCATTAAGGTAAACAGTAACACCAAGGTGGTACACACTCCTCAGGTTTAGAACAATCATTCATAAGAGAGCAAAAAGGTGTGGGAAACAGAACAATTTCTCCCAAGTTGTCTCCCCTAAATATATGCCAAACCTAGCTGCTTGCTACACATGGTAAATGACTATACACTTGCCGGAGGTCAACAAAAGTAGGTCAGAGGTTATTCTCCCCATACTGAGGTGAAACACTAAGTGTGTGCAACAGAACAGCAAGGGGAGAAGAGCAACAAAGTCCCCAGGGAATACCAAAAATAGACTTTGGCGCCAGGGCTTGGCGCTCCATCAGACTCCACCGGAAAACATTCCTATAGGTCAACAAACAGACCTTGAACTATTTACAGGCTTTTCTTTTTTTGGGGGTGGTGGTGGTTTAGTTTTCTTTTGTTCTTTGTCTTGCTCTGTCTTGTTATTGTGCACACTATTATCTCTGAAGGTCTATCAAGATAGGCAGGATAAACAATCTGGAGGAGAGAGCAATGGGACCTACTGTTCCAGGGGGACAAGGAAGAGGGGAAGGCAGGGGAAAGGAAGTGGGTGGTAACAAACCCAGGAACAAGGGAACAAGTGATCCAAAATTGATGGCAAGGAGGGTGTAGGAGGCCTTATAGGGATTGATCAAGGGCAATGTAACTGAGAGGAATTACTGAAACCCAAATGACGGCTGAACATGATAGTGGGACAAGAGGAAAGTAAAAGCAAATAGAGGAAAGAACTAGGAGGCAAGGGGCATTTATAAAGGTCTAAATACAGGCATGTACATATGTAAATATATTTATATATGAGGATGGGGAAATAGATGTGCATATATTTATAGGTTTAGTATTAAGGCAGCAGATGAACATTGGGTCTCTACTCAACTACTTCCTAAATGCAAGAACACTTTGTTTTAATAGCCTGGCATTCGGTAATGCTCACTTTCCTGACAGGATTGATAAAGACAAAGCAGGTGCATAAGCAAATGTGGTGAAGAAAGCTGATGGTGCCTGGCTATCAAAAGATATAGCGTCTGGGGTCTTAAAGGCTTAAAGATAAATAAGCGGCCATCTAGCTGAGAAGCAATAAAGCCTGCATGAAAGAAGCACACCAGCCTGCGTGATCATGAGGTGCCAAAGGGATCAATTACTAGACATCCAAGAACAAAAAAAAATCATATCATTGTGAATGAGGGGGAGTGTGGCGTGGAGACGAGCCAGTCAGGATGCAGTATAGTACTTTCCTCTAGTTCTTTAATGCTATCACGATCCCAATTCTACCTTACAAATCCAGCTAGATCGAGCATGTACACTGGTACAGACCAGAGCTGGAAAAACAGGGAATCCAGAACAGATAAACTCCTCAGGACCAATAATGAGAGTAGACATATCAGGAGGGTAAGGGGGAGGTGGGGGAGAAAAGGGGAACCAATCACAAAGATCTACATATAACTCCCTCCCCAGGGGGATGGACAACAGAAAAGTAGGTGAAGGGAGATGTTGGACAGTGTAAGACATGACAAAGTAATAATAATTTATAAATTATCAAGGGTGAGAGAGGGAGGGAGGGTGGGAGTGAGAGGGGGAGGGGGGAAAATGAGGAGCTGATACCAAGGGCTCAAGGAGAAAGCAAATGTTTTGAGAATTATAATGGCAACAAATGTACAAATGTACTTGACACAATGGATGGACGTATGGATTGTGATAAGAATTGTATGAGCCCCCAATAAAATGACTTTTTTAAAAAATTCACTTTCAATCATATCATTAAATTCTGTTTGGGTTAGGAGAGAATAAAATCCTTTTAAGAATTACTAATATATACCTAAATAATCTGTAGTTTATTTTAGTAACCATATACTCAGCAATCATCACAAGAAAAATCGTAAATGCTTTTAGTACCTACATCCTTTCAACTGATCTCTTCAGGAATAAAGTTCAGTAACCACTAGACATGCGGTTCCTTAAGTTTAAATTAATTAAAGAATTCTATGCTGCTTTAGGGAGAGTAAATAGAAATGCCTCTGAAATGGTATTTTGTGTCATGAAGACAAGCGGCTAACTCTTTAGAGTTTAATCAGATGCATTATTTAGAAATGTATCCAGTGATCATCATGTGCCAGGCACTGGAAATGCAATAAATGGCAATGTCATTGCACCCCCCTAGTGTGAGGAACCAAGTTAAGATACAGTGTAAGTCTATGTAGTGGTGAGTATTATAAAGGAAAACAAAGCAGAGAGAGAGCTAGAGAATGGTGACGTGGGATCTGGTGAGATTCCTTGTTAGAAGAGACATGTATGAGACTGTACAAGGTGTGGAAGCAGATCCTTTGCTACCATCTAGGCCACTTAAGCACTTATGCAGACTCTAGGATTACATGATATATCAGTAAGCTTCAACAGTGTAAACAAGAGGACAGCAAATATTTAGTTGACTAAATAGATGAAATAAATCTGACTGGTCTATAGTTTAAAAGTATATTGCAAGCCTGTAAACCAATGATCACTGCAGCACTTTTTTTTTGAGGTTATAAGATGTTTTTGTTGCATTTGAGTACATTTGCAATAAATATCTTGGGTGTGAGGCCCTGGGTTGGTCATCTGTTTGCACGAGCAAACAGATTTCTCTGGCACAACTCCAATGCCAGCAATGGGATCAATCAAAACGATGAATGCCAGCATGTAGAATTATTTTAATACTGTACTCAGTTGTCCATAACACTATAGTACTTTTTACAAACCAAAGGTGGAACCCACCAATTGTCCATCAGCTTAATATATGGATAAATCAAATGTAACACACACACACGAATACTGCTGTTGTTTTTAAGTGCCATAAAGTAGGATCCAACCCATAGCAACCTTATGCACAACAGAATAAACCACGCCCAGTCCCGTGCCATCCTGACAATTGTGCTTATGCCTGAGTCCATGGATGCAGCCACCGTGTCAATCCATCTGTTTGAAGGCCTTCCTCCTTTTCACTGCCTCTCCACTGTATCAAGCATGATGTCCTTCTCCAGGGACTTGTCTCTCCTGACAACACGTCCTAAGTATGTGAAATGAGCTCTTACTAGCCTTGTCTGTAAGACACCCCCCAGAATTACTTCTTCCAAGACAGCTTGGTTTGTCCTTTTAGTGGTCCATGGTACTTTCAGTATTCCTCCCAGCAGCACAGCTCAAATACATCGATCCCTCTGCAGTCTTCCTTAGTCAGTGTCCAACTGTCACATGCATGAGGCAACAGAGAACCAGGGCTGAGTCAGGCACACCTTAGTCCGTAAAGTAACATCCTTGCTCTTCAATACTCTGAAGAGGTCTTGTGTGGTAGATTTTCCTAATGCAATACATTTTTTGATCTCTTGACTGCTGCTTCCATGAGCATTGAATGTGGATCCAAGTAATAAATCCTCGACAACTTCAACCTTTTCTCCATTTATCATAATTTTATCTATTGGTCCAGATATGAAGGTTTTGGTTTTCTTTACATTGAGTTGTAGTTCATACTGAAGGCTACAATCCTTGATTTTCATTACTAAGTGCTTCAAGTCCTGATAGCTCCTTGTCAATATACTGTTGCAACCGTTGTTAAAATGATCTTCAGCAAAATTTTACTTATATGTGATATCAGGGATATTGTTCTATAATCTGAAAATTCTTTTGGGTCAGGTCCCCTTTCTTTGGAATAGGCACAAATATATAGATCTCTTCCAGATGAATGAGAGCTTCCAGTGCTTTGTCAGCTTGTTGAAATATTTCAATTGTTAAGCCATCAATTCCTGGTGTCTTGTTTTTGGCTAATGCTTTCAGTGAAGCTTGACAACTTCTATAATCAGCACCACTGGTTCTTGCTCATATACTATCTCCTGAAATGGTAGAATGTCTACTAGTTCTTTTGGGTATAGTGACTCGTGCATTTTTTCCATCTTCTCTTGATGCTTCCTGCATCAGTCAATATTTTGCCCATCAAATCATTCAAGATTGCAACTCAAGGCTTGAATTCTTTTCAGCTTGAGACATGTTGAGCGTCTTCTTCCCTTGCGGTTTCTAACTCGGTCTTTGCACATTTCTTTATGGTATTTGGCTTTGTCTTCTACAGCTGTCCTTTAAAATTTTCTATTCAGCTTGTTGATTTTATTCTTTCTTCCATTTGCTTTAAGCTACTCTATGATTACAAGCAAGTTTTAGTCTCTTCTGACATCCACTTTGATCTTTTCTTTCTTTCTTCTGCCTTTTTAATGACATTTGCTTTCTTCATGAGTGACTTTTAAAAAATTATTAAATACTTTTATTGGGGGCTCTTATATCTCTTATCACAATCCATATATTCATCCATTGTGTCAAGTACATTTGTACATATGTTGCCATCATTATTTTCAAAGCATTTCTTTCTACTTGAGCCTTTGGTATCAGCTCCTCATTTCCCCCTGCCCCCCTGCCCTCCCTCATGAGCCCTTGATAAGTTATAGATTATTATTTTCATATCTTACATCATCCTCTGTCACCCTTCACCCACTTTTCTATTGTTCATCCTCCTGGGAGGGGGTTATAGGTTGATCTTTGTGGTCAATTCCCCCTATCTCCCCCCACATTCCCCTTATCCTCCTGTTATCTCTACTCTCATTATTGGCCCTGAGGAAAAGGTTTTTCTATCCTGGATTCCCTGTGTTGCGGGCTCTTACATGAGTGAGTTCTTGATGTTCTCTTGCGGTTCATCGGGTTTTTTGGCATTAGTGTACAATGCATTAAATCTGGTCTTGAGATGTTCTCGAAATTCAGGTGGGAGAGACTCAAGGTTATATTTTGGCTCTCATGGACTTGTTTCCATCTGCTTCAGCCTTATCCTAAACTTATACATGATGAATTGATGGTCTGTGTTGCAGCTAACCCCGGGCCTACTTTGAGCTGCTGATATTTAACTTCTCCGTTGTCTCTTCCCAGAGGACATCAATTTGATTTCTGTGTATACCATCTGGAGAAGTCCATGTGTACAGTCAGTTGCCTTTTTTGTTGTAGAAAAAAGGGATTTATTATGAACAAGTTTTTGGTTTTGCAAAATTCTATCATGCTATCTCCAGCTTCATTTCTATTGCCAAGTCATTATTTTCCAGCTACTGCTTTTTCCTTTGTTTACAACTTTTGCATTCCAACTGCCAATAATTATCCATGCATTTTTCATCACTAGCTTTTGTGGTTGATGCATCAATTCAAATAACAGTTGTATTGATTGGATTTTCTTGAAGGCAGATACATATATTCCTATCACAGACAGCCTTGTACTTCAGAATAGATCTTGAAATGTCCTTTTTGAGAACTGATTTTCTGGTTCAAAATGGTTAATACCAGTCCATTTCAGCTCCATCTAATGCGTATGATATCAATCTTTATGTGTTCCATTTCATTTTTTTGTCACTTCTAATTTGCCTTGATCCCTACTTCCCACATTGCAAGTTCTGATCATTAGCATGCATTTGCATGCTGTTTCTTCCCATTTGAGAAGCACCACATCAGGAAATGAAGATCCTGATGGCTCCATTCCCTACAGGTTTAACTGACTCACCTCACCCTGGATGACTCCACTCTGAGAAATCAGCTCCTTCTAGGTCACATTTCGAGTGCTCTCAGATCCGAGGGGCCCGTCCTCTGGCACTACTTCCGACCATGTGAAAATGCTCTATTCCATTCAGAAGGCCTTCAGTATGTGACAGTGTTTCCAAGCGGCGCATAAGCTTTCAGCAGCGTCTTTTTCTGAAGCGGCGAGCCGAGTCCTTTGCCGTCTGTTCTTAGTCTGTTGTTCACTCCGGGAGAGCCTGCTGCTCTTTCAAATCCCAGTGGCATGGCTTCCAGCATCACAGCAGCACATAAGCCACCACAGTATGACAAACCGACAGACAAGTGATGGCAGTGGACTACTACGCAGTCAGAGAGATAGGAAGTCCTGGTGCATGCCACAACATGGATGGACCTTGAAGACCACACTGAGCAAAATAAGCCAGTCATAAGAGGACTAATAGTGCACGAGCACCTTTACATGAAATATACAGATACATAGACACCACAGAGCATTAGTGATGGGGTAGGGGTTTTGCTTAGGGGACATTATGTTTTTTCATGGAGGTGGAACTATTTGGAAAAGGATCATGAGATGGGGACACAAACTGAAGTATATAATCAATGTCACTGAATTGAACATGCACAAATTATTGAGATGACATGTTGTTACATGTTTTCACCACAATTTGAAATGAAAAACAGTCTATTACAAAGATGTCCGTAATAAATAGATTGAAATGAGGCAAGCAGTTCTACAACAATGGAATAACATCAGAAAAATCCAGATGGAAACTGTCACTGAAGTGAAAATAATAAATTCATTAAGATGAATCTATAAAAAAGGTTGAAAACCAAGCCACTCTCTATAATTAATTTCTCACATCTTTTTAGTTATGGTATCATCTGCTCCTTTTATATACATGTAAGTCTGCAAGAACAGTTAAGGACATCATTTCAGAGGCAGTTTTTGCTTAGATAATAACATCTATTATAAGGGAAATAATATAATTGATTTAATTTCTAATTTATACTCTAGCCAGAATCTTCCACCTACCAGAGGAATAAAGGGCCAGTCTTCCAAAAGGTGATTACTTTTAGTGATTTTCAAGTTGGACTCAATTTGTCAAACATTGAAAAAGCTCCAAATACAGATTATTCACTGGTGTATGTACAATAACGTTTTCTTTCTTTTTTTCCCCCCAATAATGTTTTCTAAGATCTCAAATTATTCTTTTCTTATAGGTGCTCCTATTTTCAATCATTTCTAGCCACAGCTTCACATTCTTTTTGATTGTATTATATCCATTGATACATCCTCAACCCAGCTAATGGAAGAAACAGAACTCACTTTCAATTGCCAAGTAAATTTTCCGCTCCCCTTCCTTGGGTTCCTTCCCGGGAGGGAAGTATGTCCCTCTGATTGTGATGGCAGCCTCGGAATATTCGCTGATTCTCTGCAGTGCTTCCTTCGACGTCACCTTCCACCTGGCAGTCTGAGGTACAAAGGGCGGGAGAAATCAATTCATAGCAGGGTCAAAAACCAGGCCTGATGACAAAAACTGCTTAGCTGCATCATAACATGGCCAATATTAAGAGCATAATTAACACATATGGACATAGTAAGTTTACTTATATTCTAATCTAGGTCAAACATGACATACTGAATGTAAATTCTAATATAAACCTTCATAAAAAGGAGTACTGATGGCTGCGCCTTTAGATAGAAAATAAAGCAGTTATTAAATGTTTGTAGATTTTAACGGATTTTTGCTTTTAAAGAAGGAAGATTTTCTATGTCTAAAGAAGAAAAGATTTAAACTCGTTACTTGCCTGGGGGAAGTCATTGATCTCCAATTCTTCCTCGTATCTCTTAAAAGATTCGTTCTGTCCACCATCCTGTCTCTCCTCTTCTTGTTTCTCTAAAGGCACATAATTGAGCTTGGCATTGATCTTCTCAGCAAGTTGCTCTGCAATGGTTTTAGCAGACACAGTGGGAGCCAGAATGGTGCCACCTCTGAGGATTGCATTGGTGGCCTGCTGCATCACATCCTGCAGTAAAGAATAGCTGCAGTCAAATCTCAGAAGAGGGCAGAGACCCCAGAGCGACTGGTTCCCTGGAAAGTCACTAACTCGATTATTTCCCAGGGAAGTCCTATTGCCAAGGTATCTTTCTAATACACAGTTCTACCCATGTGTGCAAGTTAGCAGTGCATATTCATAATTAATAGTTTAATTACCTCATACACCTTTGATGGCTAAAATGAAGAACATTCAATTCTCCATTAAAAATTCTACTGGATCACTGATGTACCTTTGATAATCAGCTAACGCTTGGTATTAGATATAATACAAACCCATTGCCATGGAGCCAATTCAGACCTATAGGAAGTAAATTGCTCCAGATAGTTTCTAAGACTGTAAATTGTTATCGGAGCAGAATCATCTTCTCCTGAGGGATGGTGGATTTAAACTGCCCACTTCGCAGCTGGCAGTCCAATACCGACTCCATTATACACTGATATAATGCTGTATTTACAAAATTGCTTACATACTTTGTGGCTCTTCTGAGTGTCCCCCAAACTAGAATCTTTGTATTGCGACCATCAAGAGCACCTTCCCCTAATGGCCAAAACCAAGATTCAATAAGTATAGCTAAGTGACTTATGTAAAATCTTCAAAATACTGCCAAAACTAACAAACCATTCTTTGCAAATGGTCTTAAAGTAACCCAGCCAATAAAAATAGACCTAGAGAAAAGAGCTACTGCTTTAAGATTTTGGTAATATCTATTCAGAATACTGCTTTATACAACTATCCACAAGGTTACCATGGAAGGGTAAGTCTTCTGGAATGACCATGAAGATCTCAATTAACCACACTAAAAAAATGCAGTAATCAAAAGTACTATGTAGGCAGAATAATGTTAAAATCCTACAAAGTAAAGGAGACAGTATTTTTCATTTGTGCTTAACTAACAGTATTCGTGGAAAATATTTAAGACAGAGGACGTAAAAAGTATTAAGACTCAGACAAATTACTTAATACCTGAGACTCGATGCCCAAGTTCTTCTGAACATTGATTCTTAGAGCCAATCTCTTAGCAATTTCTAACTTCTCAGCATTTCCCGCGGTGGGAGCAGGGACACTCGATGTTCCAGGGGCGGCCATGTCCTTCACTCGCTTCTTTGAATTAAACATGCTTTCAATTTGCTCATCAATCTACAACAAACAAACAAACCCAAAACACCCCCATTATATGAGGAATACAAAATAAAGTGTGCATAATGTAATAAGAAATATTTCCACAATTCTAGAATCAGATAGCAATACGAGGTGGTTTCAAATGTTCAGGGAAAAACATAATTGGAAAATAATGGAATTTGCCACAAATTTTTAGAAGCCCCATCATAATCTATGATAATTCAAGCAAATACCGTATATGCTCAAGTATAAGCCAACCCGAATATCAGCCGAGGCACCTAATTTTACCACAAAAACTGTATTAAAAATGTGCTGAAAAACTTGGCTTATACACGAGTATACACGGTAAATCAATAAGAAAACACATCAGCCCCCCCCCTTTTAAGGGCAGCACCATATTTTGGGGGGGGGAAATCAGCTGTCTGTGGTAATCAAGGAAAGAAAACAGAGACACAGGCTACATGAACTACTGAAGTCGATGCCATAAAAGTCTAGAAAACACAGCTTAAATCAACAAATGAGGATGAGTCTGCTATCCTAGGGCTCAGGCCTTGAAGTCAAATTAGAATGCAATGAACAAGGTTAAGAAGGACAATAACTCAAGTGAACTAAAAATACGGTCAATGATCTTCAGGGGACTAGTACAAAACTCTTCCCAGCTCCTAACGTGGATTTGCCTTAAAAATTAAGTAAAACAGAGTCCAAAAAGGGGGCCCCCTCGCTGTATTTCTGTGAGCCAAGAAAGCAAAGCGATGGAGACTAGAGTCCCTGGAGCCAGGAGAACACCGAAAGGCTCAGCTCTCCAGGAGCCAGGGAGCCTCCTGTCATAGCCAACCCGGACGTGGGGAGAAAATGTGGTCATTTGGATTTTTTTTTAAAGATGCCTTCTGCCCTACAGTGACTATTGCTATCCACAAAAATGATAGGAAAAAAGCCTTAAGAAACTCACATCAGGCAAATAAGCCTTTTGTCTTCTAAATCTCCAATTCACAGAGGTTTGTTCATGGGTTAATAATAAAGTCACTACATATAAAAACTCGTTTAGTGAAATGGACGCATTCTACTTAACATTAATAAGGAAATATTTTTTTAAAAATCTATGCAAGGGAGCTTCAAAAAAATTCATGGGGAAATTGAAAGGAAAGGTAATAATAGATTTCCCCCAACAAACTTTTCGAAGTCCCATCGTATTTGTTCAGCAGCATCTCTTAAAAACATCAGATATCTGATAAGAGGTTTAAGTATCAACTTGTTTTAAGCTCGACATTTAACTGAGTAAAAAGTATTTTAAACAGCAAGCACAGCATTGCCTAAACAAATACATCAAGAATGAATGGGGAACGTGGAAGGTACTAACTGATCGCAACACCTTCCCTTGTGACTCTATTCACTCCCGAACTGTCCTAACGTTTGACCAAATTTATGTTATTACTTAAATGACCAGAAAAACCACCATCCCCATCCCATGCCTGAACAACAGCTGGACTGCAACCTCATGAGCCAGAACCACATGGCTACAGAAATGCTGACCCTCAGAAACTGTGTGATCTAATATTATTCTTTAACCTGCTAAGCTTTGTTGCTTTGTTACACAGCAACAGTAACTACAACCTGAGTTTAATCCAAAGGAACAGTTCTACTATGTCCTTACAGGGTCACTAGGCCATAATCAATTCAATGGCAATACATTTGGTTTTGGTAAGTTCACTAGGGGAAAAAAGGGGATTCCAAAAAAAGCCCCTAATACTATTATACTAAGTACTATATATACCTATATATAGTATGAGGTTGTCAGGAGGCCTGGTGCCAGGCCAGAAGCCCTGGTGGTGCAGTGGTTAAGCCCTCATCTGCTTAACCAAAAGGTTAGTAGTTAGAATCTACCAGCGGCTCCACGGAGAAGGATCTTTGACAGGGTCACTGTAAGTGCAACTGACTTGAGGTCCATGAGCTGGATGGGTTGTGGTCCTGAACCAAATACATGTTCTGGGTTTCAATTTCCTCAAAGGACAATCAAACTGAATTCATGATTTCCAATGTTGTATTTTGATCTAAGCTTTAAAGGATATTTTAAAAAATGTTCTATGAGCAAATATATTGAAGACTTTCTGGGTGAAACAGCTTTTTTAATTAAGGACTTAGCACAGCCCTTTATACTGATGTACAGTGCTATGACCTCTACTGGAAAGGGAGAACTGGACACACTAGGAACGTTTCCTAAAATCGTTTTACTATGCATGAAACCTAGAAGAGTAGGACTCCAAGGAAAGAAACCCTGAACTTGTTGAGCCCCCATCATAAAGGAGACCAGACTTACTTGCCAGACAGTGACCAGTAGAAACCCTCCAGACCGCTGTCTTTGGGCCTGAGGATTAACTCACCTCTGTGGGAGACGAATCAACCACTTATGATCAAAGGGCAGCACTTACCCAAAGTTCAGAGGGTTAGGAAAGGAAGAGGGATGGGAACAGGAAACAGGGACAAAGTAGAGTAAGTAAAGGTGGGTTCAGGAGATTGCAATGGATGAGTTGAAACAAAATATGTATGTTAACCTAATGTTCTGTTCTGAAACCTTCACTTGCAGTTCACAAAAAGTAGGAAAAAATTTTAAATTTTTGAAAATAATAATTTTAAAAAGCTGAGTAAACTATGCACATACAAATATTTCCAGTGATAAGCCACCTCAACAAGCATCAAATGAACAACAGCTTCAGCTGGTAGGAATGAGGCGTAGGACTCCAAAACTTACATCAACGGCAGCATCCTCATCATCTGAATCTTGCAGGCCAAGAGCTGCCTTTTGCAATTTCTTCCTCTCATTAGCCAACGCTTGTTCTGTTTCATCAAACTTGAATCCCTTACCAGAGAACCCACTACTCTTTTTAATGATTTTCCCCTCCTTTCAAAGAAAAACAAAAAGGTTAATTTCACAATAAAGACTTTTTAGTGTTAGGTACTGACTGCATTTATGTATTTTCCAACGGAGTAAACCAGTGCACAGAAACCCTTCATTTGAGCATGTGGGAAAGTACAAGTACTCTATGAAGACCACACAATCTACTACTAAACTCACACAGAAGGATTTTCCTCCTCCTCTCTCCAAAGAGATCACTAAAAGGAATCATATCAGGACTTGTAAGTATTATGCAACACTGGTGGCATAGTTTCCAGCATCATAGCAACACACACGCTACCACAGTATAACAAACTGACAGATGAGTGGGGATGCAAGGTTCACACAATCTCTACACAAATAACAGTGGTTAAGAAGACTCACAGCTTTCTGTTGATCTTTGAAATCACTCCAGAGCTTCTCCAGATCAGGAGGCACTGTCGTCCCGGACAACTCGAGGGCTTTTATTATGTCGCCAGCATAGCGAGCTTGGTCCTCTGTGATGAAAGTGAAGGCATAGCCCTAGCGAGGAATGAAAGACAAACACATCAGAGACTAACAAGACAGATCTGCTGAGATCACAAGTAAGATAACATCCGGACCACTTACATCCTACAAAGACTGATGCCATTTATCAAAGAATTTAAGGACACAGAATCCTAACAAGTTGTCTAATGGTTCAAAGGGAAATGTTTTTTCAAAATACATTAAGCAAAAATGGATCATTTCTAATTTCTTCATGGATACTGTGTGCCAATGAGCTGATTCTAACTCAGTGATCCTACAGGACAGAACAGAATTGCCTGGTCAGGTTTCCCAAGCCACATCTTTGAAGGACGCTGTTCGCCAGGTCTGTGAGCCTCTCTTGGAGGCAGTATTGACTCAGAGGTGGTAGCGAGTGTGGCTTTGGAGTGTGTTGAGTGGCTGGTGAGTCAGAACACCCAATTTTTCTGCGACCAGCCAACTGTTGAAGCATGGCACCACCAAAGTCCAAACGTACTGCTGCTGACTCATAGCAGCCCTACCGGGCAGAGAAGAACTACTCCACAGAATTTCAGGGACTGTAAATCTTATAAGAGCAGATGGTCTCATATTTCTCCCTCAGAGTGGACCTGGGCTTGACATGCTGACCTTGAGGCTAGCAGTCCGACACTTAACCAACTGGACCACAGGCCCCCATGGCATTGCTGGGGCTCCTAATTCCTTAATGAGTACAACCATTCATGATTTTCTATGAAATATATTTGAATTTCACAAATATTAGTTGATTTTTTTTTTGCTTGTCCACCCTTTCACCACTGCCTACCATACTACCTCCCAAAGCCAACCCGTATTAAGCTCCTAATTTCCATGTTTTCCTCTAAGTCCGAACAATGAAACATTAAAAATACTTATGCAAAAATACTTATATAACTACTTAAATATGCTTAATTATATTAATAAAGGAATAGTTTCATATACTTATTTATTTTTCTAACTGTTTAACAAAGAAGTGATTGGCTGAATCACCGCTCTTGGATTCTCTAAAAACCAAGACCTCACTCACAAGCTTCCAGCAACCTAAGAAGTTTCTGGGTCCATACAAGAGAAAAGGTGAAGTTCAAAGTAGAACAGTAGCAAACCTCATGCAGGTTTCCAACATAATATATGCTGCCCTACCTATGTATTCTAGACATTTTAAAATGGGATCTAAGATGTTTGGGTTTTTTAAATGTTATTCATTGTCAGCCTGCTTTTGTGCTGTCTTAAGAATAGTATTTCCCTTTCTATAGGGCTGTGTAACACATACACACACATATATGACAGAGACCATATGTGACCCACAGAAGCTAAAATATTTACCACCTGATTTTATGAAAGAACAGTTTTCCCAACTCCTCTAAATATCTCAGATGCAAAGAATCCAGGTATCACAAGTTATTACTTTCCATCTTTAAAATGGGACTAGAGTAACTCAAGGGCATATTACAAGGACAAAATGAAATGTGCAACACAATCAACTTAGAACAATGACTGGTATATAAGCATTCCATAAATGTCAGCTGTTACTATCATTAGACTATATGGAGTATCACATATATCACACGGTCCATGTTACCAACAATTAAAGCCTTCAGTTAGTCATATAGTTACCAGAATATACTTGCGTTAAAACACTAATATACATACACACATTTGATGACACCACACTTTAAAAAATACCAATAAATATCCAAAACAATATATGCATATACAAGGGGTTCCCCGGCAAAAAAACAGAAAAAAGCTCTGTCATGTGGAGTTTTCGTGGTACGCATTTTTTTCCCGGTAGGTGAGCATTGAGCAACGGAGCAACTTATTCTGAGTGAGTGCACCCAGTAGCATTGCCTGGGAAAGATCTCTCAGGTCACAGTGAATTTTTTCGTAAAAGCAGTTTTGCTCAAACTTGGCTTTTTGTGATGGCGATTTAAGAGGACAGCTCCTGGCTGTGAAATTTTGTTTCCTGATCAGGAAAAATGCCGCAGAAACTGTTGTGATGTTGAACATAACTTACAAGGACAGCGCTATGGGAAAAACTCAAGTGTACAAGTGGTTTTCTTGTTTCAAAATGGGTGCAATGTTGTTCTGCATATCTGTCAACTTCCCGAACATATGAAAATGTTGACAAAATTTGTGCACTTGTGCTCACAAAGACTGATGACAGACCATGAAGAGACAGGGGAGTTATCTGGACTATCTTGGAGCTGAGTCAGCAAATTTTATTTTATTTATTTTTTTGAGTCAGCAAATTTTAACAGAAGATTTGGGAATAGCGATTTTTGTGAAATGTATGCCTTGGGTTCTGACTGACTAGGAAAAAGAGCTGTGTACTGGAAACAGGATGTGCTTTGAAGGAACAGATTTGAAGCAGCCCAGACTTTTTCCCCAGGTTATTATTGGTGATGAGACAGGTTGCTACTATTTACCACCCAAAGCAAATATCAGGCAAGCCAGTGGAAGATGCCATTGTCACCTCACCCCCAAAAAAGCTCGACAAGTGAAATGGCAGATTATGCCGATGCTCATTTTTGTCGTTGTTGTTTTTATGTGAGGGGGATAGTACATTTGGAATTTGTTCCACCAGGTCAGACTATGAATCAAGCTTTCTATTTAAAGGTTCTGAAAAGATTGTGTAACAATGTGTGACAAAAAAAAACTTGATTTGTGGCAGATGGGGGACTGGTTTTGTCACCAAGACAATCTACCTGCTCATGCAGCCATCTCAGTGGACCAATTTTTGTGTGTGCAAAAATCAACATACTCTCTTGCCCCATGTACCTGACTCACCTGACCTCACTCCGTGAGACTTTTTTGATTTCCACAAAGAGGGACATGAAAGGATAGTGATTTGGTGATGTAAAAGAGGTGAAGGAAAAAATGAGGCATGTGCTGTCAGCCATCCAAATAGATGAGTTTGAAAAATGTTTCCCAGAACAGAATTTCAGATTTGACAAATGTATCAAGTGTAATGGAGAGACTTTGAAGGTGATAAGGTTTTTTGTAAAAAAAAAAAGTTAAACACATAGCTTTGGAAAAAATTCCATTTTAAAATAAAAAAATTCACCTCCCCCAAAAAATCCATTTTGGGGGGTACACTCTCATATAGCATATACATGTCATCTACATTTATACACATATAATCTATATGTTAGGTATATGTACATATAGATGATATATGTATAAACAATAATTTTTATTGGGAGACTACAAAGGAACACAATTAATAGTATATGCCTATAGACAACAACTAGACATCTGGTAATTTTAATAATACTTTGACTTGTATGTGTATATAAATGGTCAACACCAACTATTTCCCCTCCTCCACTAATTAAGGAATTTCAAAATGTCTCAAAAGACCCATTGCCTACTTCTTAAAATACTAATATTTCCACTTTATTGAAATCAATGGGTGTTTCCCTTACTTTGTTGCCTGCTCGTCCAGTTCGTCCAGCTCTGTGCACATAATCTTCATAATGGTTGGGGCAGCTGTAATTGACTACCAGAATAAGATGTTTCACATCCAGACCTCGGGCAGCAACAGAGGTGGCCACAAGAAGTTTGCAGGTGCCATTTTTGAAGTCATTTATGATGCTATCTCGGTCATACTGATCTATACCTGTAAGTAAATTAAAGAGTTAACAGCAAAGAGTTCAAGTTAAACTTATCATTTCCTCTGACACGCAAGAAAAAGATGTTATGCAAAGACGAAAGATCAGATTCAACTTATATGGATCAATTCCAATTTGCAAAATAGAGGAAACAAAAGAATAAGAAAATGTAATGGCAAGACCTAAGGTTAGTACTTCCAACTTATTTAAGAATCTTTCAAATATGCCTTATCCTTTGTCCCCTTTTCTTGGGTATAAAATTTTATAAGCACAGATATCTAGATTCAAGAGTCATGAAGCAAAACTTGTTCTGGGAGCAAAGAGAAAAAGGCAAGCATAATCAGCCTAGATGGACAGGCCTCCGGTACTTCTCCAGTAGTTTGTTCAGAGCCTGGTATTTACATACCATCTAGGAAAAAGAAGCCTCAAAGACCAGAAGCATCAGTAGTGGTCCCTGACAGGAAGAATCTTTGCCCTACCCAAACAATCCGAGTCACATGTGCATTTTACAAGAGCCTCAGGCAGTTCTCTTCTACTACTTCCCCACTGACCTTCGATCCCGCCACTAAATTTCCTTTGTCTCTTTATTTCCTATTACTGACTCTGTCTTTGTTTCTCTAACCTTCTTTTTAAAAGAATAACATAACCCCAATTTTATTCACAGATTCTTCCAGAATTTGGCTACATACATCAAGCAGGAGGTGAACCATGATCAGCTGAACTCAGCCCTTCTCACACATCTGTGCTCAGGTCACCTTTAAATCCTTAAAATTAGTCAAGACTCAGAAAGCATTAGTTTATGCAGTTACTTCCTGGTATCTAATGAATCAGAAGTTCAAATTGAGAAATCGGGGAAATATTTAAATGCATGTTAAAAATAACAATATTATCATAACAAAAATAAAGCTATTGCATGTTAAAATAAAAATGTTTTGTCAAAAATATTTTTCCCTAAGCATAAAATAACTAAAGAAAGATAATAGCATTCCCTGTATTGCATTTTTATAATCATGTCTGCCTTCACAGAAGCTAACCAGAGTCTCATACCTCTCCTACATGTTCTATCGCCTCAGGAAATTCCCTCATGAGAGAATGACAAATCCTGATAGTACTTGCAATGAAAATACTTTTGGCATGATAAAGACCCCCTGAAAGAGTTTGAGAGACTTTCTAGCTCCACACTTAGAGAATCATTTTATCTGAATCTCCATGCCCTTGTTCATAGATGTTTTGGCAAAACTATTATGCACATAATAGACATTTATGGGGAAAAAATTATTTCACTTATACACACACACACACACACACACACACGGGTGCATGTGGGTGCACACACATTCAGTCTTCTAGCAATATAGAAGCACCTATTGGGTCAGCCCTCCTGCAGATAATAACTGAACGCTGGACAAACAGGGAGGAAAAACTAGAGTAACTAAAAGCAGCCAGACTGGAAAGCAATTAAACTAGTTGCATCAACAGGGCTTTATTAATTTATTTCTTATATGACATTTTGCTTCGGGATAAGAGTATGGACAGTCTAGGTAGAGAGTCAAAACTTGAAAAGAAACTCACAGACTTATGATATGAAAAATCAGAAGGAAGAATTCAGGAGAAATTTATTACCTGAAAAGAATGGAGCTAAATCCCAAAAAGAACCATCCATGTGCACACAAACACTATTCAAATAGCTGGCTGACCCTAAACCACATGTGGATAAGGCAGATTCAGGCAACCCAACTACAGCTAAAAAATTCAATAGAGATTTGAAGTGTTACCTACTACCACAAAGACAAAGTCTGGGTCTGGCGAAGTTAATGACCTAGTCCAAAAAAAATCCATACTCTTGAGGGTACAACAGAAAATCTCGGCGTCTCTGTATCAGGCATTCTCAACTACGGGCCCGCGGGCCACATGCGGCCCACTGAGGGCATTTATCCTGCCCGCCGGGTGTTTTTGCCCCGTTTGTTTTTTACTTCAAAATAAGATATGTGCAGTGTGCATAGGAATTTGTTCATAGTTTTTTTTTTTAACTATAGTCTGGCCCTCCAATGGGTCTGAGGGACAGTGAACTGGCCCCATTTAAAAAGTTTGCGGACCCCTGCTCTATATCATTCATAAAACTGAAGCTACAAACCAACATTAGTGATACACAAAGAAGCAGGAAAACAAAGACAACCGCGATGTTATCAAGATGATCCAGCTGTTGTACTAGCAAAAATCTTACAGCACCTAGTATAAGGATAATCAAAGTTCATAAAGAGTGAACAGAAAATCTAATCAGAGGAACACGAAAGCAAAAGGGGATCAACGGGGAAGTCTAGAAGTAAAGAATGTAGTAACTGAATTTTAAAACGTAATAGCTCAGTAAATGGGTAATGGCAAAAGAATGAGTGAACTCCAAGACAGGATTCGAAGAAACAAATGGTAAAAATTACAGGGATAAAACGATATGTAAGCTTTTATCAAAGTTCAAAAGGGAAAGAAGATAGAATAGGACAGAAAAAATTTAAAGAACTCCCCAAATTTGGTTCAAGACACAAATTTACAGATTCTGGATGCAAAATAAAACAAACAAAAAGCCCAGAGCTGTATGTATAAATGTATATGCACCATATGACCAGAATCCTACTCCTGGCTCTCAACCCTTCAGGAAATTGAAGACAAGTCCACATAAAATTCTGCACATGAATACTTAACAGAATCTCTTTTCAAAACTGTCAAAAACTAGAAACAATCCAAATGCCCTTTAAGGGATGAGCAGATATATGCTGTTGTTTCCATGTAGTGGAATATTACTCAGCAATAAAAAATGAAATATTGACACGTTTAACAATTTGGATGAATCTCAAAGCAATTCCGCTGAGTGAAAAAATGAAATTGCAAAAGGTTACCTACTTTCTGATTCCATTTACATTTTTGAAAAATCAAAACCATAATGAAAGAGTAGAGGGAAATGGTTGTCAGGACAGGCTACATTGACAATAATTAACTTTACAGAGATAAGATGACGGGGGAAATGGCCTTATCCTATGTCCTGATTATGATGGCAGCTACATGCATCTAAACCCATGTTGGCATTCACAGGCCTGCACATCAGAGGCAAACTTTCTGCAAAAAAACAAAAGCAAAAAGTAATAATTTCAGCTTTTACTCTGCCTTTGTAGCCTAAAAACAGCCATAAATAACATGCAAATTAATGTACTGTGTTCCATTAAGATTATATTTGCAAAAGCAGATGGCAGGCCAAACTTGGCTAACAGACTGCTTAAAAAACTGCAGTACAAGCCCACATGGAAGAAGGACACACCAGTCTGTGTGATCATGAAGTGTCAACAGAATCAGGTAAAAGGCACTAGAAGACCCAAAACAAACAAAAAACATATTGTTGAGAATGAGGTGGGGCTGGAGCAGAGATCCCAAACCCGCCTGTAGACAACAGGACGTCCTCTCACAGAAGGGTCACAGGAAGGGATGAGTCAACCAGGGCGCAGTATAGCACCGATGAAACACACAATGTTCCTCTGGTTCTTTAGGGCTTCCTCACTGCCCACTATCTTGACCCTAGTCCTGCCTTTCCATTCTGGCTAGACCGGAGCAAGTACACCGGTACACATAAGAGCTCATGACACACAGAATCCAGGTCAGATAAATCCCTCGGGTACAGAATTGGGTGTAGCGATGCCATGAGGGTAAGGAGAAAGTGGGGAGAGGAGGGGAGGAAGGGGGAACTGATTGAATGATGGATGCATAATCCTCACCCCACCCCCCAAGGGGATGAACAACAGGAACGTGGGTGAAGGGAGACAGCAGTTGGTGTAAGACATGAAAACTAATAATTTACAAGTTATCAAGGGGTCACGAAGGTGGGATGGGAGGAGGGAGAGGAAAAAGAGGAGCTGATACCAAGGTCTCAAATAGAAAGTAAATGTTTAGAAAATGATGATATCAACATATGTACAAATATGTGTGAAACAATTTATATATGGAATTGATGTATAAGAGCTTTAAGAGTCCCCAATAAAATAATTTTTAAAAAACTCTGCAATAAACCAAAAGAAAAATTTCCCTCCTATGTTGTAGTTTTAAAACTTGTATCTATAAGATTAAGTCAAACTGCTTAAAAGCAAAGATTAAAAAAAAAAAATCTTGAAAACAAGCAGAAGACAAAAGTCACCTCACTAAAATGGAGGGGAAATCAGATTTTTGGCTAACTTCTCATTAGAAACGATGGGGCCAAAAAGACAGAACAACAAAAAAAGGAGCTGGGATGACATCTGTAAAGTACCAAAAGAAATGTACTGTCAATAAGAATAATTTTTAGATTACAAATATTCTTAAAGCAAACGAAAGAAAAAAAAATTGGGTAGAGAAAAACAAAGAGAAATGGATAGCAGAATACCTGTAATATAAGATATAATGAATATTTTTCAGGTTAATGGAAAATAACTCCATATTGGAACCTCAGATCTTAAAAATTAACATTAGAAATGGCAAATATGGAAATAAGGAAAATATTCTATTTTAAAATTAATTTCAGATGGTCCAAAGTCAAAATTATATTACCCCATGGGGATTGAGATATTTAAATGTAATACACCAGACAACTGTAGCAAAAAACAGGATAGGCATACTATGGTACGTGTGGATAAATTAATGCAAGACGCTTACATTCTTTGTGAAAGGTATGATACTAATTTGAAGAAAACAGAAAAGTGAAGAATATATAGTATCATTCCCAGAGCAACCATCTAAAAAATAATGCAAAGAGGAACACCTGAAAAGTCAACAGAAATATGAGAATGGCATTCAAAAAAGTATTCAAATTATCCAGAAGAAATGAGAAAGCAAAATGGAATGAACACATATTGGACAAAAAGAAAGTAAATAGCAAAATGGCAGGACTAAATCAAACCATAACCATCATATCAATGATTACACTAAACGTAAACAAACTCACTAAAACTCAATTGTCAAGCAGAATTTTAAAAGCAAGACCTAACTACATGTAGTCTACACATGATGGGTTTAGATTTAAAAGACAAGAGATACGTTGAACATAAAACAGAAAAACATATACCAAACAAAAGTAAGTATAAGAATGGTAGAGGAAACATTAATATTCTTAGGACTTTAAGAAACAATAACGCCAAAGAAAAAGGAACATGTTATAAAGACGAAAAGGTCCAATTGGTCAAAAAGCCATTATAATCATTATATAATTGGTCAAAAAGCCAGTATACAATTGCCTTTGTCACGGATGAGCCCTATAGGACCAGTGGTGTGAGTGGCGAAACAGGGAGGGTAAAGGGAGAATGGGTAGGAAAGAGGGAACCGATTACATGGAGCTGTGTGTGACCTCCTCCCTGGGGGACCGACAACCGAAAAGTTGATGAAGGGAGACGTCGGACAGGGCAAGATATGACAAAATACCCATTTATAAACTATCAAGGGCACATGCGGGAGGGGGAGCGGGGAGGGAGGGGAAAAATGAGGACCTAATGTCGGGGGTTTCAATGGAGAGAAAATGTTTTGAGAAACGATGTACAAATGCGCTTTACACAATTGGTGTGTGTATGGATTGGGATAACAGTTGTATGAGCCCCTAATAAAATGTTAAAACAAAAAAAACAATTGCCTTTGTCAAACCAAGCTTAACAATATATGAAGCAAAAAGGGGAAAAAGAAATAGACAAGTTCACAGTCATTTTTGGAGATTTTAATGTCTGGAGATTTTAATGTCATGCTTCCGCCAATGTCAAGAACTGACAAGACTTCTGTATAGATAGAACATCATGCAAGATGATACTCTCATCAAGAGGTGAGCTTATGCCTCCCTTCTCTAGAGTGCAGGACAGTCGTTGGGCCACTTTGGCTAATACAAAGTGGATGACGTGAAGCCTCTGCCATTCCAATATCAACCTTAACTGGACTGGCAGCTTTTGTTTCTCATCTCCTGGCCAAACAGCCTTAAGAAGAGGTCCACAAGGAAAGAAGCAGGGTCCCCATTCAGTAGTTCCACTCAGCCTCTGGTCAACAGCAAACTCCAACTTGCCACCCACAAAAGAAAACTAAGTAAAAGTAGGCTCCCAGGCCCAACTGAGTTACCCCCTGACACAGCACGAGCGATCCCAAGTGACTTCGGCCCGAATTGCTGATTCATAGACAAAATAAATGACTGTTATGTTTGTATGCCACTAAATATGGGACTGATGTATTACAAAGCCATAGATAACCAGAACTCTTGGTCAATGAGAATTATCCAAACGGTTTGATTTTTTTGAGTGTTGTTAAGTCCTACATACATGTAACAATAATATTACACAAAATTAAAATGTTATGTGAAAACATCAATTTAAAAAGTTTTCCATTAAAGCTCTATGAATCACTGTTATAATAGAGTATAACAAGAGGCGTCAAAAGACTGAGTTCAGGAAGGGGAAAAAGGGAGAACCCACCAAAGGTTGGATATCCACCAATACCACCCTCACCCCACCCACGAAGAGGACAAATAACAGATATGTGGGTGAAGGGAGACAATGGACAGTGTATTATTATAAAATAATAATAACAATATATAATTGATCAAGGATTCATGAGGGTGGGAGGGGAAAAAAGAGGAGCTTTTACCAAGCGATCAAATAGAAAATATTCTGGAAATGATGATGGCACATCTGTACAAACATGCTTGACACAATTGATGTGTGGACTGTTCTAAGAGCTGTAAGAGCCCCAATAAAACGATTTAAAAAACAGAATTCAATTCCTCGTTACTGCTTAATGGCTACAGAATTTAGTCAATGTTTTGTTTTGTTTTTTCCCAGAGCAAGATTTTCTGCCTGACTGTCTTCATTATTGAGATGGGGTAATAGTAATGCTTAGCCTCACAGAGCTGTGGTGAGCAAAAACTGAGACAGATTATATAAGATGTAGTTCTAAGTTATAAAACACAAAGTCAATATTACCATGCAGAACATAGCACTATGCCTTGCAAGTTACACACTTAATACATATTTCACCACGGGTGAAAGAAATGAAGCATTACCTCCATGAAGAGACATACAAGGATAAGAGGCTCTCATTAAATCTTTCAGAAGGCCGTCAGCATGCTCCTGCTTGTCCACAAATATGATGACAGACCCGGATTCTTGATAATGGCCTAGAAGCTCAAGTAACTTCAAGAATTTCTTTTCTTCTTCAATCACAATCTGAAAACACAAAATTATATCAAGTTAATGGGTGAAAATGCAAACATATGCCTTGAGCAGAAATGTTCATCTTATGTGTGATGAATAAAGACAAAATGTTGGTATATCTTAGGAAGGGATGAAAGATGTTAGTTTTACATTAATAAACCAGTGAGACCCAAAAATGTAGTTTTCAGAGAATAACAGGCGTACAAAATTATCACCTTTTCTATCTTTTTAACTTCAAGTCCTCTAGATCAAAGAATAAGACAGGTAGGTAACATTTTTGCCTCCCAGCCCATCCCTCCAAGTGGGAAAATCGAAAAAGAACATTTTAAAGAGTGCCACTGACTACCAGTGTATCTGGTAAAATGTTAAAAGCTGCAGTTGACACATGCTATTTTATTTTTAAAAATCATCTCCTACATCACAAATAACGACCAAAAAGAGAATCACACACACGATGTAAACCTCAAGTGAGCCTAAAAGACAGTACCCACCACTTGTTGTTCCACATCTGAGCAAACCACACTCCTGCCTCCAACCTGCACTTCAATGGGTTTACTCAGGATTCTGCGAGCCAGAGCCTCCATCGCTCTGGGGAAAGTAGCTGAAAACATAACCGTCTGTCGATCAGGACGGACATTATCCACAATGCGCATGACCTGAAAACATCACAAATAAGTATTGGTGAGAGTGGGCTCCAAAAAATATAAGATGTTAAAACTAGGTAGAAAGAACTTTTGGAGGGAATCAAAACCTACATCACTGACCTTTCAACTTGTTAATTTAAGATTAACACAGTTGTTTCCCCCCCTCCCAGTCGGCTCTTTCTCACAGTTCTCCATACGATGAAGTGGCAACTCTAATCAATCCAGATGGTTAAGCCAAAAAAATTAAAGAGTCATCTTTGACTATTCCTCTGATCATGTATCGCACAGGCAATCTATCAACAAACTCTAGTCTGTCTTTGAACTGCATCTAGCAACCATACTTTACTACAATCATTTCTTTCCTTCATTTACTCGGTTCATTTTTATTTTTTTATCAAAATAGAGAAGCCTGCTTTTATTGCTTTATGGGTTTTTTTTAATCACGTTACTGGG